AACACCAATATCCCGTACACATACCTCAAATCAAGCGTTAACGCATTTATCAAAGAAGAATGACCAAAACTCTGGCACTACTATAGAAGAATGGCATCAAAGACTAAAAACAGAACGATTACGTAATAATGTCCAGACTTCATATAACACATTCTTATATTCTAAAACAAGAGCCAAATTCCAATCTGTACAGCATGCCAAGAACTAGGCGCAGTAAAACATATGCTAACAAACTGTAGCGACTTCATACAAATAGGTTTAAAATATTACCAAACAACCAACATGAAAGAACTCTTTTATGACATATAGCTATATAATATATTACAGTTTCCTAAAGTAATCAAATTGTTTTCCAACATATAACGTCAACAAAGCTACAACATAAAACACAGATGTCACCACCTCCAGTAATCATGTCCACACAAACATGTATAAAAGCTGAGTATCATCTACCATGTATTAAAATGCGAAAGCAGAATATCATATAGCATATGTCTAATACTTCAAAGCTCGCAAGAACATTAAATTTCGGCATTAAATGACCCATGATATATATATATATATATATATATATAATTTTTGTTTAAAAATATGATTCCTTCACATAAGAGTTCTCATGTTTCAAAAAACGAGAGCCGAATCCAAACAAATAATTATTAAAATTAAGTTGAATTGAGGTGTTTAGTTCCCTTTCATCTTCAAGCAAAATTTCTTAAAAATAAAAAACAAAATACTAAGGAACTCCGGATTATGCACCCAACGTGTTCTTTTTCTATTTTCTGCATACCTGCGCATTTTATATATATATATATATATATATATATATATATATATATATATATATATATATATATAAACAGGTTTGTTCAGTTTATAAATTTTCCTAGCTTAATTTGTACCCTAGATATAAAGTACGCTTACCTAGAATAACCACGGGTGTACTTTAGGCTGTTACATCAGAAATATGCTAAGTATGTAGATATAAATAAAAGTGTACTAAACTACTTTAAGGGTCATGATAGCTGAAGCCGTTATATATACCATTTTTAAGTAAGCCTTTTAAATCATGCCACTTCGGGAGATTTATTGTTTTATGATGTTCCCCATAAACAACCAGACAATATAAGCCATTGCATATCGTACAGAATTACGTCTGCTTGAATTACATTTAATTTAAATACTGTTTACTTATTGATGAATAATTTGAGAACTGGAATACATCTGGATCTGAAGAGAATAATGAAACGCGCTCGATATGACATCAAAGATTACAAGAAAAAATGAAATGATCCAGCTTGGCTTTCAAAAATGAAAGAAAATAATTCCAACGCAACTGAAAATCTCAATAGAAAACATTAAGTTTCAGTGAGTGTTTCCAGCTTGCAATCTAATAAAGAATCTTGTAGATGAAAGAAGCCATTTTGTTGAAATTTGCATTACACAGCTTCAATATTAGTGTTTCTGGCTTCCTTTTATTATACTCTGAAGTATTTACTACCTTCGCTCAGGTGTATAAAGGACTGGAAAAGAAAAAGGGAAATTGCTTGTTTAACGCAAAACAATCTTTTATGCGCATGCCCAGGGAAAGTGAAATTGAACAAATAGTCAAAGAACTCATTTTACTGTACATTATAAAATATAAGATCACACACAAGGGTGATATGGATGACAAAAGCTATAGATTATCAAAGAAAACATTAAATTCCTAAAATAATACAAATATATGAATTATGTATGCTTTATATTGTAAAGATTGTTGATACCGACCATGTATCAAACACAGGCACCTCGGGTGGGATAATGTTTAAGAAGCAAGTCTGGTTGAACATTACTACCGAGTAGTAATGTTCGATCATCTGGAAGCGCTCTATATTTGTGCCCTTGTACCAAACAAAGCGCTAAGCTTAGTAAAATACAACTAGGCATTGCAAACACTGGCTTTTTTGCATGGATCCAGAAATATGTGAAGTAGGATTATGGACGTGAATTAAAAAATTGTGAAGACCAACGAGAAGAAAGAAAGAAAGGTAATTGGATAAATATTAATTGATTTGTTTATTACGACTTATCAATCTTTTGCAAGTTATTTAAAGCCAGAGGAGAAAAAGAGGTAAATATAAGCGAGTATTATGTGGACGAATAGGTTAAGTATGGATTGACCCTGAATTTAAAGAGACCATGATTTTAATTGTCAGGGAAGCATTCTCCCCACAAAGTAACATTTCTGGGGGAAAATTGTTTTTGTTTTTTAAGGAATACTAAGGAATAGATATCGTGAAAATATATATATATATATATATATATATATATATATATATATATATATATATAAAAAAAAAGTTTCAAATTGAAACTTATAATGTTTTATTTTATGAAAGTATTTATTTATTTATATATATATTTGATATTTCAAATTGTCCTCAATTTTTCATCAGAAATAACTGTTTGTTACAAATAAATTAAAATAAATTAAGAAAGTATACGTGGCTTCTCATTATGCTATATATATATATATATATATATATATATATATATATATATATATATATATCGTCGTCGACTCTCCCGTCGAGTTCGACGTATGAGGGTCAAGCAGATCAGCTCCCAGGAAACCGACAACCCGACAACGGCACATGAGATTTGATTATAGTGGTGAAGG